AGCACAACAGCATTTCTCTGGTCTCCTGGCCCCACAAACCTCACATTTTACACACTTCCGTCATCAGTATACAAGACTATTGTACAACCACCAATTCTTTTGTGTAAGCCACACATTTAATAGTCCATTTCTGGCACATTGGCCAAACGTTACCAGGGTGCTCTTACTTTCCTGTTGCTAAGGAGAACAAAAACGTCAATATTAGACAACAATACAAGCAACAAAGAGATTGTCACATGACCCTAGGTCGACTAAGAAGGTACACGTAACAATTACATTTTAATTTTGCCATTTTCACTATGTTGAAAGCCTAGACTTGTAGCATTGTGGTGTTCTTTACTAGACTGTGAGTTTAGGCCACACCAAGTAATTTTTATGGATGACATCCTGCACGGATTGATTTTGGCCTGTTCTCATATTAGATCTCCAGCTAAAGTAAAACCATGCCATGACTGGACAGACAAGTCCTTACCCTGTGGGAGTCCTCCTGAGGCATTGTGGGACTGGTAGGTGAGGCCGGTGGTTGGAAGATGTCCCTGACGTCGCGCGGCTGTGCCCGGCCCTTCATCCGCAGCGTCTGGTTCAAGTTGGACACGCGCCGCTCCACCGCAGCCGCCTGCGTCCGTGTCAACGTCGACATCAAAACCTCGTCAACTTCCCCGTAAACATTGTGAACCTCGTTCCCAGCTAGGAGGGAGAAAACAACAACACTTAAGCCACACCAATTTTATTTCTTGGTTAACAGATCTTTTTAGAAAAATAATGGAGCTGGCGGGCGAAAAAAATAAAAAACTAGAGTTCCGCGATCTCATACCTTCGCCAAATGATGTTAATCTTTATGGCTGACAAATTATAGATTTTTCCCCCTGATTGTGCAGAATGAATTATATCAGTCTTTATCATATTCTCAACCAAAAGACAGTCTTATATTAACAAAAGGTGCCATTCTATTATTTCCTCATAAATTATGCAAATAAGGTCCTGATTTAAATACATCATGTTTAATGATGTTTGCCTTCACTGAACTTTCAAATACCACAAGTATGAAATTCCAGGCAGTTATCTTTACAGAATTATAACATTTTCTCATTAATTATGCAAATTAAGTCCTCATTTGCATAATCAATATCTGCCTGTGCTTCTATCCTTCTCAATTACCAATCTCACAAGCTTCAATAGTCCTATCATGGAATGCAGCGGATTTATAGAATATCCCCATAAATTATGCAAATCACATCCACATTTGCATAATTGTCACATAATTACATCAAGCATCATGTAAGCTACCTACATACCAAAAATCACGACGATCCGTCAACTGGTTCTTGAGTTATCCTCTTTTGAATATTTTCAAACAGATAGCCCTGCAGTTCCAGAGCAAGCCGCTAGGGGGCTCAAACTGATGTCACTTCTTCCCCAGCACAAGAGCTACCTACCACCTAAATTTCGTCACCCTAGCATGTCTAGATCCTGAGATATCAAAACCGGAGTTTAGCTGCAGTACCATAACAAGCCGCTAGGGGGCCCAAAATCTAATCAGTTCGAGCTCTCATCAAGACCTACCCACCTACCAAATATCAAGATAATCCATCTAAGCTTTCTCGAGATATGCTGTTGACACACACACAGACAGACAGACACACACACGGCCACGAAAACATAACCTTCTCCAATTCTTGGCGAAGGTAATAAAAACAGGCCTAGGCATCCTATTATGGCCCAAAATGGTACGGTAGGAGCCAAGAAGTCAACATACCAGGCTGGTTAAAAAATTAGACAATGAATTTTTAACTTTTAATGATACCACTGCATTGAAAGATGGAATAACTGTAACAAGTAGGAAGAAAATTACTGTTTTCAACTGTTCAGGGCAAAATATGAGCATTTGCAGTTGATTCTGAATTTTCTTTTTTTTTGGCAAATCAGAAAAAAATGAAGCGGACCAATCCATTAACCAAGAAATTAAATTGGTGTACCATGGTATCTCACATTCAACCACTTTTAGTTGTAACATTTATATGCTACGCCAAAAAGCAGTTACTCAAGCAACTAGATAATTATGATTTTGGAAACGGTCAAAATCTCGTCAAAAATCATATCCAGTTGTTTGAGTAACTGCTTTTTGGCGTATCGTATTACCTGGATGTCTACCCTTCAGCAACTTAACATTTAATGGTTTTCAGTTTCAGAAATTCAGTTGCTAGGTGACTGATTGATCAATTTTTGATACAGTTGCAAATATATTTAAAAGACGTTCCATAGCTCAGAGTTACTTTCCTAATTCCATTTCTAATTTTTCTAGTAACCTTTTTAACCAAAGCATTGAACAAATATTGATGAACTTCAAACTATCAAAGTGCTAGTTAACAATCTTACCTGAGAATTTGGAGGCCACACCAGTGAGTCCTGAGTCCATAAGCCACTCTGTGTTGTGTTCAAATTCTGTGCACAAAAGATAATCATTCATTTAAAAAGACATATCATAATGATGACATTCCTGTTTAAGGGCAAAGGTATAGAGTAGAACCATGAAAATAATAAGCTTACAATATATTATACTAATAATAAAAACTAAAGCTACTTGAAGTCATGGTGGCTGTAGTTCTTAGAAACAGCCCTCCAAGAATTAAGCAAAATATTTGCAGACAGATTTTGATACAATATAGAAATGGATCACCCCTGAGGCATCGCCAAAAATCGAAACAACATATCCTAACATTTGTAGCCTAACTATTGTAGAGAAAAAGCTGGACTGTGAAAACCTTACAGGTCTCGAAATACTAGGTGCATATGCACCTTAGTGCACCCAAAATAGGAGTTGTGCACCTAATTTTTTTCTGTGGGTGCACTCACACACACAAATATTTTTGTAGGAATTTTGAACATCAGAAGTGTATAATAGTATACTAGTAAGTATCAGAAAAATAATAAAAATCTTTGTTGTTGAAGTACTTCTTTCAGATTTTGAAGTTAGCTCTCATTTTAGATTCAAGCTCAGGAAAGAAGCAGTAAGATCTGTAATTAAGTTTTGTTTTATATGGTGCACCCAAAAATTTCTTTGTGCACCTGATTTTTTAGTTTGGGTGCAGCAGTGCACCTATTCCCAAAAATGAATTTCGAGCCCTGACTTACCATCTGGAGTCTTGCACAAGTCTTCCTCACTACCAAAACTTTCCGAGTTCTCCTCGATGTCTTTGATCTCGGTCCAGTAGTCGGAGTAATCGTTGTCCGCGGCGGGCGGCTGGCTGAGTTGGCGCTGCATGGTGCTGCCCGGTGCGCGGCGAGGGTTCTGAACGGGTAAATATGTACACGTTTGATTACTGTTTTCTTGTGTAGGCAGTAAACATTATCCTTAGAACCCTTACAAATGATTCTATTGGTTGTCAGGTTAAGAAAAATGCTAAATTGGAAGATCAACATAATAAATGAGAAACCAACAGGCTAAGTAGTTTGTAGATTATAAGTAACCAGATGTGCTTGGTTTTACATATACATATATATAGTATATAATATATTTCTCTGTGTTTTAACCAAACATACTGTATTCATGCACAGGGATCGAAATTCATTTTTTTGATTAGGCGCACTGGTGCACCTAACCAAAAAAATTAGGTGCACCAAAAAAATTTTTGGTGCACCACATATTTCCAGTAGTACATTAATAAGTAAAATATTACTAATATCAAATCAACAACATCACTGCTCCTCTTTAGCTATCTAACCAACCTTACTGCTCCTGCAATTCTTTTTTCCAAAGAGACACAAAAATTACCAAAAGTAGACCCATCAGACTGTACAGTACTTTTAATTGTACTACAATCAACAATGTTATGTTTAAACTTGGGTATCAAAGGTTTTCTATTATTTTATTCCATCACAGCAATGTTGGAATTACAGTGTTTTGTACCTTTACCGTACTTAATACTACAAAAATATTTAGGTGCACCGGTGCACCGATCAAATTTTGGGTGCACTAAGGTGCACATGCACCCAGTACTTCGATCCCTGATGCATCTATATGCTAGCTTGAAATCCCTGTACTGGTATGCAGTCAAAATCTGCAAAATAATGAAAATCCACATTGTAGAAGTAGCATAAATAACTCTGTACATATTGGCCCAGTCCTATAGCTACATTTGTAGGTTAGGTGCAGGTACAATGTACATTATCATGTATTATCAGAAATTCCTGCACAGCTCCAACTTTATGATACAGGTGGGATTTCCAGCCTAATATACTGTACAATCCACTTTCACAAAATGATGATTAATTAATTTATATACATGTATAGTGATGAGTTAGTAGTTAATATCAATTGAACAGCTTGTTCTGAAATAAACATGTGACTGTAATTGATCTAGATACACAATATGGTTGTAACTTGTTAAAGTTAATTGCATTAGTCAGCTGTTTTCAATGGAAGATTGGCTTTACATACACACTGAAGCTATCACAGTATCAGGGACCCCCGCTGAGGTACCCTACTTCAGGACTGTAAATTGTGGCTGGATTTTGCAATATCGGTGAAAAGCCTTCATACGACAATAAACTTCCCCTTACTAAGGCAGAAAATTTAAGGCAGTCACTTTCCCAATATCACCCTTTTTTGCAAAATTTGAGGAGAAAGTTGAAGTTGAACTGCTCTGTCCATGTGCTTTGTATATGTTCACTCAATTGTGAAAAATGGTTTGTATAGTTTATAGTATTACGTAGAGCTGAAACCTTGTGCGGTGCATATCTGCAAGTTCAAAGTATAGTTTCTTTGCCTAAAATTTGATCAGTTCATTAAAATTGAAGTTTTGAAAAAAAAAAGTCTAGAAGAACCATTTTACTTTAAGTCTACTTTTATATGCTTAAATGATACCACTTTTAAGTACAAAAGGCAAGTTTTGATTAACATTGGTCGTACATTGTAATAATTGTCGCCTATTGTCTGGGCTTGGTTGTCATTGGCAAGCAGGTAGACATCACGTACTAGTACCTGCACAGGCCCAATTTTACTTTAACTAATATTATTGCAGGTGACATTTCCAGCTCTATTGAGGCATGATGATTATAAAAAAAAGTTGCTAGCAATCACTAGTCAACTGTTACATTAATTTTTTTTGCAAAGTTCCCCCCCGAGGATTGAAATGGACCAGTCGTTGAGCAGGTTTTGTAGCTCAGTGTTCACACATCACAATCAGAAGTACACAAATGTGGTCAGGACAATAATGGTTGGAATGTCTCGGGTCACTGCATTCACGTCAACAGAGGTTAAACCTCACTACCAGCTATGGGCCTGGCAGAACATCTTACTGGGAGAGTTCAACTATTTCCTAAACTACATTTTGTACAAATTACAGAACAGTCAAAGTTAAAAACTGCCTAAGAAAGAAGAGCAGTCAGGGGACCAATCAGTAAGTATCTGCAAGGACATTATACAGATGTGTATAATGTCCTTGGTATCTGATACCAGCCAAGAAAAGAACAAGAAACAGTCATACCTTCAAATATCAGAGTTATCAACCAAGATGCAAGAATTGAGGTGTTCAAAAACTCGTATTTCCCCAGAACTAAACCTCACTTCCAGCTATGGGCCTGGCAGAAAATCTTACTGGGAGAGTTAAACTATACCCTAAACTATATGTACAAATAACTGATTTGAAATTTAAAAACTGCCTACTAAGAAGACCAGTCAGGGGACCAATCACTTTTGCAGATAATTCTGACAGTCCCGGCACAGACACGTTTCCCTCCCCGACGCAGCCCCATGGCACAGATAATGTTAAAGGGAACAGCGGCGTTACGTTACAATTCTGACAGTCCCGGCACAGACACGTTTCCCTCCCCGACGCAGCCCCATGGCACAGATAATGTTAAAGGGAACAGCGGCGTTACGTTACCCAGACTTCCGCTAAGTATTCTGATTCCAGCCCAGAAAAGAACAAAAAACAGTCATACCTTCAAAATCAAATATCAGAGTTATCAACCAAGAATTGAGGTGTTCAAAAACTTGTATTTCCCCAGAACTATCGTAGACTGGAACTCGTTGCCACCAAGCACAGTTGGGGCATCATCACTAGAAAGCTTTAAACAACTCCTGCAATTAAATGTGCACAGACTGAGTGTAACATTACTAACAAGTCGTTTGGTGTGATATAGCTAGCTGCCGCCGCGCCGCGTGCCTGCAAAGCTGGTGTGTTACGCCGAAGGGTGGTTATACCAGCTATACAGATACGAGTACAGATACAGAATCTAGTCTATGTGGACAGGTCACTGTCAGGATATTTTTAAGGTCAGGCTGTCCTTATGTAGATGTGACCACTTGTACACACTTGAAAGTGCTGAAAATTGTAAAATATCTGCAATTGCAGTCTTTTGTGGTTTTTTTTGTGAGCTTTTGTGATGAAATGACAAAAGTATTTAAAATGCTGCAAACCCCTCATACTGTACAATACATATACATGTACTAGATGATTTGAATTTTTTTCAAACAAATGTTGCCTGTAACTTTCTGACATCACAATTTACACACATAAACAAGCTACTTATCATGTAAACAGAGCGCAGTTGTTTTGTTAAGTAAGTACTTGAAGTAAAATTTGCTGTGTACATATACACACAACTATATAACATAATGGGCCAAAATAATAAACACTTCTGTCCTTTTACTGTTTTAGTGTTGTGTTTATCTAAAGCCGGGCTATTCTATTAAAAACTTTCAAGAGGTAGTCATTTTAAGTCCCAAATACCTTTGTATTATCCCCAAACGAAATTCCTTTAATACCCCTCAAACCTTAAATTTTCTTACCCTATCTCCCCCAGAATTAATGGAACAGTCTGCCTATCCTATACTTTTCAATAAAAGGTAGAAACAATGTTTGAGTTAAACAGCTTTAGTCACTAGAAGTACAAATACACAAATCAGATAAGGCTCATCAGATTTTCCTGATTTGCTCCCAGCCAGTTTTGAGGACACTTGAAAAACCTCTTCAATCAAAGCATTTACCTGCACATATAGGTCAACAACAGATCAGAAAAAAATATCCACCTAACCAAAGTAAGGAACCTAAGTTCCCTAACCAGTAGAAGTTCAGTAATGATACAATATTGGTGAATTATATGTACCCTGAGCAACTTTTAAAAATTATCACTGATATCAGTATAGACTACCGGTAGATCAAAACTGCATATTTCCGCCAAATATTGAAATATTTCAGTTGACAACAATTACTCATAATAGTATTACGTGAATGTCAATAAATTTTACTTCCACTTTTCAATATACTGTAGTATTTGTGCAATTATCTCACATTTCTGACAATTATGGTTAGGCCATAGCAAGTAAATTTTATGGATGACATCCTCCACAGACCTAATGCGAGTGGGCGAAAAAAAACAAGGCGGGCCGAAAAAACACAAGGTTCCTACATTTTCAAATTTTGACTCAATCATTGTACAAATGGCTTTGATTCAGTGGGAACATGATATCATCCATAAAAATAACTTGCTGTGGCCTTAGCACTAAAACAGGCAACATTTGGCGCACTCAGTTCGCTGACAGAACGTAAACAAACATGGCTGACAGCTGTGTTTCCAGCTTTAAAATGTACACCCCTTGTACATCTACGTCTACACAATACCAGGGCTAGGACAAGGAGTGGCCAGAAAATTAACTTTTGTATTGTCCTTAGCTAATGTTACATAATGCAGCAAGCCAAAACTGCTGGTGCAGCTGCAATGTGCTCTATAGTTGAGCGATTGTGTTGAAGCTCAGATACATTGTTTACTGTAAACATATAATGTGTTTGGAATAGCAAACTCAAAACCATAGCCTACTGGTAACTAGTAACTACTTGCATGTCAAAATTCTTGTCTTAGGCCATGGAAAATTATTTCTTTGGTTCTCATACTTTTCTGAGAATAAAACAGAGGAAAACTTGTGTCTGATTACTGTAAATGAAATGCATGTGGGAAAAGACTCAAGGTTTTTGCAGCGTTTATACTATAGTTCACAGTTGAAATGATTTTTTACTTTATTGTAGTACAATCTATGCAAATCGCACATTTGTGGTGTCACAAATTTAGAAAAAACTGCAAAAACAGCAAAAATTAGACTAAGTACTGCAAAAGTAAATATATTTACATTTTACACTATAAATTACAGTATATTCACAAAATATGTAAAACTGTGTGGTCAAATGTACAGATTTTCACTCAGACTCAAATTCCTGCATGTTTGATTGTTTCTTTTACATCAAAAAACCAATTAACTCATAAAATTGGTGTCGTGTTACTAGCTAGGCTTGACTTGAGGAAAACTAGTTGCCCTCTTTATTTCACCTTGTTATAATAGAGCAGCATGATATATATTGTGCATGGACATGAATAAAGAAATAAATTGCACAGTCGTTATAATACCAAACTCTATTCAGGTTGAACATTATAATCACACTGAGATGTCTGAATAGAAAACATGTCAACAAAAGAAAAATTCAGGACTTAAGGCTTATTAAAGTTATTTATCTACATCTTTTAAGAGATCAACTTCAATAAAACATACCCTTTAAACTTATAATTATTACAATTGTTATGTTTTTAAGATCACCATCACTCTCTCTCCCTCCCTCTTTCTCTCTTTGCATGTATTTAACCACTTAGTAGTATAGTATTTTATAGATAGTGTCCATGAATTTTCTGCATTATAAGCTTTTATAAAGACTATAAGCAATAAAAAAATCCTTGGCCAACTACCAGTGCTAGTATTTACATGTATAATGTTTGGATTGTAAAGAATGATTAAGTGTGTCTTAATGACACTGAGTTGTGAGTCAACTAGATTTGTTACAACTAAACTTGTGGCATGTTAAAATGCTCTGGTTATGACCATCATACTACTTAAGAGAACAGGTCGTTTTCAATTTTGTATTTGAAAGTATGGTTTTCCAGTGGAAATTATTTCATAACTTCTTGGCTACATACACGGCGTATTTAAGAGTTTCCCTCGTGTACCCCAAACAAGATTAGCGGCTTGGTAATGCTTTTGCAACATTTCGTCTTCTGATCTGTGTACCACCCTGTTTGTGTTTACATTACCTGTTCAGATCACGCTACTTAAATCAACAGAGTAAATAAACAAACTTCTACATTCTTTAGTTAACAGCAAGAGAGTTATAACTCATGTCTGTGACGTAGTGCTGCATACCTAAACCCAATTTTAGGTTCAGGTCCGGATCTAAGTCCTGAGGTTTAGGTCCAGTTCTGGACTTGTAATTGTAAGTCCGAACCTAAACCCATGGCATATACAAAATTGCATGTTGGCAACAAACCTTGCAATGTTGTCTGGGTGAAACTTTGGCCACATAACATGGAGGCCGGTACTTGACGATGCCCGATGGCAATGTTTTCTTCGTTTTGCAGCAAAGATTTTGCAAGCTACGGAAGGTTTTAGGTGGTTTGGAAAGAAAAGGGGTATGTGAAATGGTATTTTATGGTAATAAGACCGGACTCAGTTCTAAGACTTTTAGGTTTTTTTGGACTTGAACCTAAGCATTCTTACAAGTCCGGATCCAAGTCCAGTGAACCGGTATGCATCACTATGTCTGTCTGTGTTTGAATGTGTGAATATGTGTGAATGTTTGGTTTATGCCTATGTCTATGCTTCGCCAGTAAGTTGTATGTCAAGCGGGGTGAGGTCTGCCATCTCTGTTAAACTTATCATCTCACCATATTGACAAATCAAGGTAACAAAATGTATACGTATGATATGGTACAAACAAACGTTAAGTGTGCTAAATGTAAACACCTGTGGGAATGTTACCAAAATTAAGTAACCCTAAAATCATGTAACAAAACATATTTGATAAAGTTATCCCCGGTAAAATAATACAATTATATCATATTACACCTGATCAAATATGTGAGAAAGAAACTCTCAACACCTACCAACTATTTTCCAGTAGTTTTGGAGTGGAATTTGCTCTTCTTACATGATCGGGTAGGTTAAAGTCCGATTTTTCTCCTTGCTTGTACTTGGACGTCGGGGGCACTCTACCGAAACACCTGTACGATCGCCTCTCCCAGTCTGCTTTAAACCGGTCGACAGTTGGATAACACCGCCCTTAAGACGGCAGCAGGGGCCTTTGTAGCCTTGTTTACGGTAAGAGTAGGTCAACAGCGCCCAAAACGTGCCGGTTCCGTGCCTGACACCGTAAGAATGTTGCGATGTTTCCCGCAGCTGCTCAAATTCTTCTGATCCCACAAAATGGCTCTAATCGTCTTGGGGAGGACTATACCACTATTAAGCATCTATAGGGGGCAGTTTCCAAACATTTACTCTAAACTATGAGGTAATTCAGACAATTATTTACATATCATTTATCTTGTATAGCTTATCCATTTTTGGTAAAGTTTGACTGTTAACGTTTTGGTTTTGTTTTATCTTAGAGTAAGAAAACTCACCCTATAATAGTTATAGTATAGCCTAACTAGGCCATACCACATTTAGTATTTTGCAGGAACCGTGGATGAATTATTTCCTCTAAACAAAAGAAAGATGTAATTTCTTTTCATTATATCGTACCTCAAAGCTGTTTATTTATAAAGATTAATTTTGTTCATAATTTATTTCATTCTATGCAAATATTTATCAGTATAACATTTTTGAAAACACCCCCAATACAACTTAAAGTGGTTTCAGCGTTTTCCCGCCATGCACCGCTAAGGTGTAGTGTTGTCCAAAATGGCGGAACAATCTGTGAAGAATCCGGGCTTAGAACTCGGGCAGAAAAAATCTGAGATGAGCGACAACTCAGGGGACAATCTGGACAACGAGCTGGTGGAATTAAATCTTGGAGAACTAGACCTGACGTCAGATGAGTTTATTTTGGACGAGGTTGACACGCATATTCAGGTAAAGTACATAGAAATACTTTCGAAATTCTGGTCTGGAAAATATTTTGGGGGAGGGGCCAGGGTTTGACAGGAAGCTATACTATGTATGTATGTGTGTATGTATGTATGTATATGTATAATATGTAATTATATGGATAACAGGACATTTCGCCGTCAGATCAGTTCGGTCAGAGGGTCAAAGGTTGTCTGAAGTCGATATCGCCCCCGTCCCGGTTGAGCGATGGTTGAAGTGCCCTGATGTATATCAGTATATGGCCCTTTTATGCCTCTCTTGAAGAATACATCAGGGCACTTCAACCTTCGCTTAACTGGGACGGGGGGCGATATCGACTTCAGACAACCTTGACCCTTTGCTGACATCACACGTGGGAAAAATCACATGTCTACAGCATTTGGGTCAGATAGCTGAGGAAGACTGAGTGATTCAGTCAAAAATTCCGGTGAGTGAAATTTATGAGTTGGAGAAAAGTTTAGATTTTTCATAATACAATTTACCAACTCAGATGAACTTTCATGCTGACAGATGAACTTTCATGATAATAAAAAATTAATATTCATGTCATGCATTGCATTACTTCCTGGATGTTTGGAATCTCAGATTTCTTGTTTTCCTTGCACATGTAGGAGAACTTGGAAGATGAGCTGGTTAAGGAGGCCCTTAAGACAGGTGTGGATTTAAGACACTATTCTCGGCAGGTGGAGAAGGAACTTCAGCAGGTGGAAAACGCCTCCATACAGGTGAGCCCATGCAGGTGGAACCACTAGCATTGTTGTTGCTTTTTCAGCTTGACTGTAACCCTCATGTACTATGTCAGGATAGACACTGTGATCATGATCTGAATTACAGCACCGTGAAAAAGTCAGGACTTCCAGTATTATTTGTGGCGTCGGTTGGTGTAGTGTATAGTAGAGGGGATTCATTCCTCAAGCTACCGACATCTTGCACACGCAGTCGTCCCTCAGTAAGACATCTGGAGCCGCATAGTTCCCGTTTAGAACTTTTATTCAGCCTGTCACACTCGGTTGGTGTAGTGGTTAGAGCATTCGACTATGAAGTGGGGAGACTCGGGTTTGATCCCGTCGTACCCGGGACATGTCTGAACATGCGCCCCAATGTTGTGCCCTTGGGAAAGGCACTTTACACAAATTTCCTCACTCCACCCAGGTGTGAATGGGTACCTAACTTCGGTTGGGGAAAGCCGTATTGAGGTCACCTTGTGGCGCTGAATGGTAGCCGCACAGACCCTTGCGACAGTTCCACAAAAATTTGTGGAACAAATATGTGTATCATGTGTATGATTTGATCCTTGTGATTTAATTATTATGTGATACCCTGCATCAATTCAGCCGTTTAAAGGCTGCGGCTGCATGGGTACTGTTTAGACAATAAAAACCATTGTATTATTATTATTATTATTACTATTACTATCATTTGTACCCAGGACTACATTAAGGAAGCCCATCACATCGCCAGCCTGCATAACCAGATCAGCGCATGTGACTCCATCCTGGAGAGGATGGAACAGATGCTGAGCGGCTTCCAGACTGACCTCAGCTCCATCAGCTCTGAGATCCAGAGTCTGCAGGACCAGTCACTGTCCATGAACATCAAACTTAAGAACAGACAGGTAAGTCACTGTCCATGAACATCAAACTTAAGAACAGACAGGTAAGTCACTGTCCATGAACATCTAACTTAAGAACAGACAGGTAAGTCACTGTCCATGAACATCAAACTGAAGAACAGACAGGTAAGTCACTGTCCATGAACATCAAACTTAAGAACAAACAGGTAAGTCACTGTCCATGAACATCAAACTTAAGAACAGACAGGTAAGTCACTGTCCATGAACATCAAACTTAAGAACAGACAGGTAAGTCACTGTCCATGAACATCAAACTTAAGAACAGACAGGTAAGTCACTGTCCATATGAACATCAAACTTAAGAACAGACAGGTAAGTCACTGTCCATGGACATCAAACTTAAGGACAGACAGGTAAGTCACTGTCCATGGACATCAAACTTAAGGACAGACAGGTTAGTCACTGTCCATGAACATCAAACTTAAGAACAGACAGGTAAGTCACTGTCCATGGACATCAACTTAAGGACAGACAGGTTAGTCACTGTCCATGAACATCAAACTTAAGAACAGACAGGTAAGTCACTGTCCATGAACATCAAACTTAAGAACAGACAGGTAAGTCACTGTCCATGAACATCAAACTTAAAGGTGCCCTAAGCGATATCTGGCCGATAGTAGGCTGGGAGCATTCAATTTCAAAAGTCTGTCTTTTTGTCACATTTTCACGCAGTATGTTGAATCAACCCTATCCTATCCCATACCGATAGTCATGGAGCAAAAATTCGATGCCGCTTTGCCGTACGAACGCCGTGAAAAACTACGTGCCTCCCGCCACCGGCAGTGGTGTCGGCCATTTTTGAAATTTCCGAGCGCTCGCGAACACTTCCGACTTCTTCCGACCAGAGCCGAGGACGAGTCACGTGGTTAACCACGAACGCGCTGAATCAGTCGAACTGCAGGTCATCCTGAGTTTCCGCTACATATTGATACATTTCGCGTAATGTCATAAAATTCGTTTCTTGGTATGAGAAACTGTATGAATGTGGCTACCACATGCGATATAATAAGTGTTATGATAACATTCAAGTATATACAAAAAGAGGAATTGAATACAAGGTTCTGACCATTCAAAAATCGTCAAATTTGAAGTCAATCGGTTTCGAACTCTTGCGTTCGATCCATGGAACCAAGGCAGTGCGTTCCATTTTTCGCGGAAGTTCCCGAAAATTGTCGACGGGAAACGGTTACTTGGTGGATTTTTGGGCCGATTAAATGGAGGCCCCGATAAATCAAGCAACTTGTCTCTGGGCTAGTTTCTGTGCTGCTTCAAACGCCAAACGTATGAAATAATGATGCAAATGTGCTGATACTTGGTGGTATGTGTCAATACCATACAGATTGTCTTGTTCTAAATATTTCCTATTTTAATGCCCTGATATCGCTTAGGGCACCTTTAAGAACAGACAGGTAAGGCCACACCAATTTAATTTCTTGGTTAGGCCACACCAATTTATTTCCTTGGTTAACGGATTCGCCGCTTGCTTTTTTTGCCGAATGAAAATAAAAAACGTCATAGTTTAGACCCCACAGGCCGGTAATACCCTGAACAGGGAGACCCCAATGAAATTGTTGCAGTTCATACCAATGTCGCTAGAGGCGCTCCTGCACACGTAGTCACATGACGTAAAGTAGCCAATCGTGGATTGTTTTACTTTCTGACCAATCAGATGCGATGTTCTGGAACCATGTTGGCTCAGTCATTTGTTTTGTTCTCCTGCATGGCGGGAGCCTCATGGCGTACAAAATTTGTGGCGGAAGCTTAAATTGTTTGAGAAAGCTGGAACTTTGGATCAAGGCAGAATCTAGGTACAGTACATGTAAAATTGAATAAATTTTGTCCCCTTTAAAGTTAAAATTGCTTGTGAGAGTTAACATTCGTGTCATGTTTTAGAGTACATATGATGATGGTGGAACTTGGAAGTAACATGCTAAAACTTGTTTTCTGCATTTTGCTCGTGTACGAAAAGATTATCAACCCAATGGTGTGGATAGCAAATAAAACACAATACGGTACATCCTCTCTTGTCTTTTGTTTCTTTCCCAGTATTTTCGTAACTAAAGCAGTCTGGATTTCACACTACATGGCTGTATGGCAGGTAGTATCAAATTTTTATTTTTATTTTTTTTCGCCCGCCCGCTCCATTTTTTGTCTACAAAAATCCGTTAACCAAGAAAA